AAAAGAAAAAAAAAAAGAGAACCTATAAACGAGATGAGAGTAAAAAAGAATTTAAGAGTTGGAAAATTATGGAAGTTACAAAAATTTTAATCAATTTTATCCTCGAATCACGACCAAATACCCAATTTTAAAAACCTCTCCTCCTCCCACCAAAGCATAAAATTAGGTTTTCGGCTAAAAATTAGGGTTTTTATTCTTTACTCGACGAAAGACTTGGCCATCAATGGTGAAAATCCAGATTGTTGGTCTGCCCGAAAATTTCGATGATGAAGTAGCACGTAGAAGAAAACAAGATTCAAGTTCGACCTCTCTCGCTCTCGCTCTTGGTGGTCAGATCTCTCTCTCGATCTCGCTCTTGGTGGGTGGTCAGATCTCGCTCTCGCTCTCGATGTCGGTTTTGGGGCAAATTTGGAGGAGTATGGTTTTGGTGCAGGTGGTCTATTGCGCAGTGAGTTTCAGATTTGAATCGAAGTAGAAGAAAAGGAGACTTAGGTGTAAAATCATGCATTCTTCTCCTGTCTCACCAGATTTCTCATTGTTCAATCGATCCCACATTACCTTCGTCAAATCCCATCCCTCCGACGGCTCAGATAATTTTACCCAGAAAAATAAAAGTAAATTCTCACACTTATGGGCATGAAAATCAAATATGAATATGAAAAAAATGTCAAAAGAAAGTGAAGTCATGACCGCTAATATTGGGATTTTCTGATTTTTGGAGGATGAAGATGAAGGTAATTTTATGGGTGATGGTGCCATTTTGGTTCTTTAGATAACAAAATAAAAAAAAAAATTGAGAGAATGAGAGGAGAGATCCCTCTATCTCTAAAAGATAAAATGAAACTAAAAAAAAAATTGTTTGGTTTTAAGTTCTGCCATTGTTCAAGAAAAAGAAAAAAAGAATAATTACAAAAGGAGAGGGAAGAACAAAGAAGAAAGAATGGATGGAAATGGAAATAACAGTAAGAAAAGGGAAAGAAAACGGGAAAAGTAGTAACAAAGGGTCAATGTATAATTTCACACACACAAAAATGACATGAGCAAATGTTAAAGGGTGGGTTGAAAACAATACTAGCAAATGTTAAAGGGTGGGTTGAAAACAATACTATCTTTTTAAAAGGTCTATTCAGCCCAAAAATCAATTTTTTTTAGTGGGAGATCACTACTATGTAAAATGATTTTTTTTGGTAGATTTTAATAAATAGATGGAGGCTGAAAATTACAATTTAAACCTAGCTCAACTGATTGAGACAGTTATTTCTAACTAAAGGTCGTAAGCTCCCATCTCCATTTCCATATGTTGTATTTGAAAAAAAGAAAGCTGAAAATATTAAAATAGTTGAAGGCTGAAAATTAAAAACTGATTAAGTCACTTATCTCTAGTTAATGGATCAATTATATTTAATGACAGACCTATAATTAATCACGTTAAAGGTCAAGTTTACCGTAATGCTAGCTTATTGTTCTAGGTAAGTTTCTGCCCTATGTTTACTCAAAAAGTATTTTTGAAACATTCATGAAAGGTCAAAAGTAATATTGAACTTTTTGAAAAGATTGGGGTATTTTTGAAACAAAGGGTAAAGTTCATATGTTTTTTCTTTTTTGTTTTGTTTTTTGGAAATTTAGCCCCTTTTTTTTTTAATTTTTAAAAAGGGACAAATATATGGCTATTCATGGTAATAGTCTAATATAGGCCTGGCGTAGAATCCAACTAAGCAGGTGATGTGTTAATCAAACTCAACTAAAAATATTGCTCTACTTTCTTAATAATTTATAAAGCCTTTCTTTATATCAATCAAAGAATGAACAAAACAGTGAAGCATACAGCTCATCTGATGCATCTTGAAGCACTTACATATGTGATATGTCTACCTTTCCTTCATATTCACAATCCAACACTTCAAACTTTTTAAAATCATAACAAATCTCACACTATAATACTATATGAATTAGCATGGAAGTAACCCTTTTCTCTTCCTCAGCAAATAGAAAATAAAAATGAAAGGAAATTGATTGAGAGGATCTTTGCTTTGGTCTTACAGGCTGCAGTCTCAATAATATGCAACTGCAAGTTGCAGGGCTGCTGCTAAGGCGATTCTCACTTAACTGTCTCGAATGCTTGTACGAGCAACTCGACTTTTCGTTTACGAGCTGGAGTGAGTTTGGCCACGGCCTGCTGAAGGGCATAGTCAAGCATCCATTCATCCGCATTCTTTCTGTCTTCTGGGTCTTGATGCCTCAGCTGAACTTTTTCTGATTCTGCATCTTGCACCAAAGGCAAGAACCTCGGCCGTCTCGGGTTGAATTTCTTTACTTTCTCCATTGCTTTGATAAATCTCCTCAGAAGAATCACTTTTTTCAGATTGCTCCAATTCTTTAGAACTTGTTGGTTGGGTTTGCTTCCCAAACTTTGCTCTTTTTCCTCCTCCTGGATGTTCACGTCGACAGATTTAACCGATTCGTCGTCAGGATTAGAAACAGCAGTAGCATCATATCCTTCTCTTCCTCTATCTGCGGAGGCATATTTTTCAGAGTTGTTGGCAAGTGGGAGAAGGAATTCACTGACTTCATGTCCTTTCTCTTCTGGGAATGTGGCGGAGAGTGATCGATCACGGGATGCATCCTTGCTTTCTGGAAGAGGGATTTCGTCAATTGCTTCATTTACAAGCTTTACAGCTTCAATGCATTGGAGTTGAACATCTGGATCATTCACAAAGCTGTCTTCCATTTCCATTTTTAGTTTTCTTGGAGAAAATTCCTTTCCATCTTTGTCGGTCACCTCATCGACAGGAGGCTCGGATCCATCTTTAGCTTCAATGCTTGAAACCATGTGCTTGAATATCAGGGACCACGTGCTTGCATTTTTCTTTTCCTCCAAGTGCGTTTCATTTGCTCCACCAATGCTGGAAGCAGCCTTGATTTCTTCTTGAGGAACGTATTCTTCCTGGATGGAACCGGCTTCGGATTGAGCTCTTCGACTTTTATCGAATATAGCCGCCCTTGCCTTTTCCAGTAGTTCATATGCAGAGATGGAACATTCAGCAGTATTGATTTCAGTTGATTGTTCGTGATCTTCCAAAGTGAGGCTTTTAGCTGCTGCTGATGTCTCACATTCTTCTGAAGAAAGGCTTTTCGATATTGTATCAGATTCTCCACCGGTTACACTGATCAAACTATCATTTTTGGAAATTGTTTGATCCTGCTCCAAATCTCCATTATTAAGTAGTTCAGAGTGCAAACGTGAAATCACCCTTTCAGAAATCTTTAAAATTTTTCCATTCACTGGAACTTCTTGATAGCTATTGCCTTCTCGCTTCATGGAGGTCTCACAATTTTCTACAGTTGCTTCTTTCCCTACCTTATCAAAATTCTGAGCCGCAATTTCTCCTCCTACCGGCCTCCACCATCGACTCATAGTTTCAATAACAGCTTCATCTTGTTCTGATTTCTCAAGATGTTGTAAGTTTGCTTGACTTTTATCAAAGAATGTTATCGAATTTCGGTGTTCTACCTTGGTTATATTGTTTGCTTGGCCTGCAGGCCCTTTAACAATATTCTTCATGTTCCAAACTTTCTCGAGCAAGGTCTCAGAAGTACCATTTTGTCGATCACTTTCTTTGTCGGCTCCATCAGAAGCTCCATGAACTTGATGAGGATCAGCAGGAAATGCGGTTTTGGTCCTGATGTGAGCCTCATCTCCTGGCACAGGAAGAACTGTTTCGAAAGCTTCTATAAGCAGCGAAACTCTCTTTTTCTCAGCCGGTTCTAATTTTGAGATAACCTGTTGTAATGCATAATCGAGCATCCATTCCTCACTATTTTTTCTTTCTTCTGTTGCTTGACGCTGGAGATGAACCTTCTCTCCTTCCAGGCCGAGCTCGGAAGGTACGTATCGTGCCTTCTGCAGGTTAATCTTCTTCACTTTCTCCAATGCCTTGACAAATCTCTTGAGAAGGATTAGCTTTTTCAGGTTACTCCATCTCTTGGGAGCTGGCTGGGTAGACCCGTTATCTATTGTTGGCATTGTCTTCTTTTCTTCCATGTCTGTGATATTCTCAACTTTAGTTTGTGTTTCTTCTGGATCGTGTGCAAGATCCTCTCCTGCAGAACGAGTTCTGGAAGAAGAAATTAAGATGCTTGATCCTCCAACTTCAGCTTGAATCCTTCCAGACAACTTCTCTCTCGAATTATCCTCACAATGGCGAGGGGATTGGCCTTGAATTTCCGGGAGAAGGATTCTATCAAAAGCTTCTTGCACTAGCTTAACCGCTTCGTTCTTGAAGAGCTCGAGTTTTCTATAGGCTGCTGCATCAGGATAGACATCTGCTCCTTCCTGATCGGCATTCGAAAGAAGCTTAAAGGAAGCAGAGTTGGTTTCTCCTAGCAATTTGTTGTCAACTTCCTTTGATGTTTCCTTCACCTGAAGAAGAGGTTGCTCGGTATCAGTATTTCCAGACTTGCTATTGTCCACCACATTCTTATATACCAACTGCCACATTCTGATATACTTTGGATTTATGTCCTGCACTTCTGCTGTAATATTTAAGCTGATACTAGAGCTGGAGCTCGTGCGCGATAGATTGTCGATTTCCGCTACAAAGTCCCCCTTCAACTTTTCACTGGCTTCACTCTGACGTTCCATTAGCTCATAGTCAAAGGCAGAAGAGCCCAAAGTATCCTTCGAGTTGCATTCACCTGCGTCGAAATTACCTTTGTCCTTCGAATCTGATGCTTCACCCAAATTGATATCAGTAAGAATACTTGGATCAGATTCTTCTACAGCAGTAGATACTAGTTTGCCTGTGTCAGTTATCTCACGAGTTACTGGTACTTCTCTGCTTACCATATTGCTTGCTCGAATACCATCATTCCTATTTCCAGATTGCTTGGCTCGAGAAAGCGGTTCACTCTCATTCCTCTTGTTCTTCTGAGCTTTCAGGGCACGCTTCCTTATCGACTTTAAACGCTTCAATGGAGGGGCAGCATTTCCATGAGAATGACAATGGAGGGAGCAATAACTGTAAGGACAAATCTTCTTTACACCAATTCTTTCAGATTCTCTTTCTCCTCCTGGTTGATGCTCAATGTGATCAGGGAACTTAGAACCCTTGAAAGCTGAAGAACATGTGGCCTTTTCAACACAGGATTCTGGAAAGTCAGATGTTTCCATTGAATACTTCTTGGATTTGGAAGCAGCCATTTTCGCTAACTTCCTCACAGGTTTTAGTGATGGCTTTCTAGTTAACATTATCCCCGAGATCGAATTTGGTTTTGAATAAGAAACTGAAACATCCCGAATTCTCTGCCCACTGTTCCGATTCCCCAATTTAGAGTTGCGAGAACTTACCGGAGATTTCAATTTACGCTCATCGGAATCGCCTCTCAACTGCTTCACTTTCCTCTTCGTCTCAGCTCCTCCACAAGATTTTCTCATCAATGTACCTTTGAATCTAGCACTGGACATTCTCGTCAGAGTCTTAGAGGATTTCGAACCAGACGACCTATTTGCAGGCAATTTCTGCTCCAAATCCAACAAATAGATTTAAATCTACCATCGCAATTACTGGAGAAACAAGAATTAGAAACACGAGACTAAGACGGACCTGGAAATAGCTACTTCTCGCTTCCGAGCTGCTTGTGGTTTTCATAAAATTTAGGGACGAATTTGAAACTGAATTCGGAGTAGACTCATCTGAGCTTGACGAAGTAGACGAAGAAGAAGAAGAAGAAGAAGAAGAAGAAGAAGAAGAAGAAGAAGACGAAAGTATACCCAAACTGAACTGAGATTTCTCTTTTCTTGCTGCTGATTTTTCCGAGAGCTTGACAGATCTTGATTTGCTGCCTTGCGAAACTCCATCTTCATTCGTGAAATCTTCTTCTGAATCCGAGTAACGATGAGAATCCACCTCCGGGTTGGAGTTGGAAAGGATCATTCTCTCAAATCTGCAACAACAGAGTAAAAAATCTGCTTTAAATGTGCTTATTGAATCTTTTAATCTTGGAAAAACAACGATCAGATGAGGAATTCTACTCGGAAACGAGAAATGGTTGGGTTGCTTGAATATTTTTTTCACAATCTTTGAGCCGAAGAGAAATTAAGAAAATGAAGAAGCTGAAAATGATTGGGAATTTGTGTGTGTGGTGAGAAAATATTAAAGCAATAAATTTGTATCGGATTTTAGTGTAAGTAAAGATATTGATTTCTTGACTTTTATTTTATTTTTATTTTTTCAGTTGGATTTCTTGACTTGTGCAAATGTACATGGGTGTGGAATTGACCAGCTTTATAACAAAGACTCTCACCAAGTTGACAAAAAATCAGAAGTCTTTCTTTTTCTTGCATGCATCACCGAGATTTCATTTTTCTGTATTTGTAATTTTTAATAAGAGGGTTTTTTTTTCTTTTTGAAAAAAAAAAATACGTTTGGTCCTTGAGGTTTCGGGGTATCAATTTGGTTCCTAATATCAATTTGGTTCCTAAAATTTCAAAATCAACACTTTTAGTCATTGAGGTTTAAAGTGAGTGTCTTTTTGATCCCTAAAGTTTTAAAATAGACATTTTTACTCCATAAAATTTGAAAAATTGTTGTAAAATAACCTTTGAGTGTTAGTTGACTTAACAAAAAAATGACATGGCAAATTAATGGACTTCCTGCTTTTAGATGATATGTAAAAAACATTAAATTTTATTTAATTTTGTTGAGGGTAAAAACCAAGCAGAACGTGTGTCCACCTTAAAAGAGGGATGGGACCACATACGGTTACATACCGTATGGAGACACTACCGAGCAGGACGTGTGTCCTCACATAGAGGGAAGCGGGACCACATACGTTTACATACCGTGTGAATTGGTAGCAGGGGATGCACATTTTCGGTACAAGTGGTGCTTCCTCTAGTTGCAGGCGACAAGCCTCAAAGTCGTAGGGGGTAGCGCCACCCGCCAGTTGTCGGGATCATACACTCACAGCAATCACAATACCACATGGCACGTCCCTGCCACCCCCAACCATCGTCCTTCATAGTCTACTGTCCGAGGATATATAAGAAGGATCCTCACCTTCATCAAGTAAGTGAAAAACCTGCCACTCACACTTAAGGTGTCTTTTTCCTGTTTCATACTCAGATTACTAGTTTGATCATCGAAGTGTCTTAGGCAGGACAACACATCGGCGTCAAGTTCTTTGTTGCAGATCTTCCTATTCTCAAGCGAACCTACTCGTTTGAAGGACACGTGGCTTCTTCCCGGAATTCGCCGACAACAGTTGGCGCCGTCTATGTGGAAGATGTTTTCAAGCCCAAACGGAAACTAGTTCTCCGCTCTAAGACATCACTAAAATGGCTTCCAATAAGGAATCATCCTATGAGAACACCGTCGACGAGGAGCGCCGACGCGACAAACTGGTTGACAAGCCCGCCCCAACTTCCCCAGCATCGCAGAAGACTCGAGGAGCATGGGAAGCTGTTAACCCCCTTCGCTAGATCGACCTCCTCGGCAAGCGAAAGGTGTGTAGAGACTAAGGTTGGAGAGAATCCAATGTACTATATTCTCATTATTAAAGTCTATATATATAGACAAATATACAAGGTTGACCTAATCCTATAAGAAGAAGGTAAATGACAAATTAATATTAATACAAGAATATAAAATATACTAATATATACTCTAACACTCCCCCTCAAGTTGGTACATATATGTTAATCATGTCCAACTTGTTAGACAAATAATCTATTTGTGCTCCATTCAATGCTTTAGTAAAGATATCTCCTAGCTGCTCTCCAGTCTTCACATACCCTGTAGCCACCAATCCTTACTGTATTTTCTCACGTACATAATGACAATCAATTTCAATGTGTTTGGTTCGTTCGTGAAATACTGGATTAGATGCAATATGAAGAGCTGCTTGATTATCACACCAAAGTTTCATTGGAGTGGTGATGCCAAATCCCAATTCAGTCAGAAGCTGATATATCCATACTAATTCACACACCGACTGTGCCATAACTCTATATTCTGATTCAACACTCGAACGCGACACCACGTTTTGTTTCTTACTTTTCCAAGAAACTAAATTACCTCCGACAAATACACAATATCCTGAGGTTGATCTTCTATCTTCCTTAGAACCTGCCCAAATCAGCATCTGAAAAACATTCAATATTAAGATGACCGTGATCTTTATATAACAAACCACGTCCAGGAGCACCTTTCAAATAACATATAATATGTTCCAATACGATCTAATGGTCAGTCGTAGGAGAACTCATAAACTGACTCATAATACTAACTGGATAAGCTATGTCTGGCCTCGTAACCGTAAGATAATTCAACTTCCCTACTAATCTCCTATACTTCTCAGGATCTTTCAACAACTCTCATTCTTTTGTAAGTTGTAAATTAGGT